GTCTGCCTCATTGTCAGGTGAAGGCAGGAAAAAAGTGTGTGCAACAGCAGAAGCCACAAGACGCCCCTCCCAGAGCCGAGCCAGCCTTCTGTCCCTCATCCCCAAGCCACTGTGTCCTGGCCCTTAGTCACTTACCGCATACTGGAATTTCTCGTTGTATTCTCGGTCATTAGCCCGCGCCCTCCTTTCTTCCTCTGCAACATAATGATACTGCCATCAGCAGGAGCCAACTGAGGCCAGGACCACCCTGTGGCAAGCCTACCCTCACTTCATGGGGGTTCTTAAGCACAACAGTTCTCTCTAGAGTCTAGCTTCAAAGATGCACTGCATCTGCAGTGTCCTTAACTTCTCTCTAGTTCACCTCTCCCACAGCCCAGCCACACGGCCGTCGCAGGCTATGGTCACAGAGCAGGACATGCTCTTTCTCACCACCACGCGTTGGGGGGGTCCCCACTGCATGCACTCAGCTCCTCTCCCCCACTTCTCGGGAGCAGCCCTGGCTCTGACAGTCCCTTGTTGGGGGTCCCCCACTGCATGCAATCTGCTCCTCTCTCCCACCTCTGGGAAGCAGCCCTGGCTCTGACAGTCCCTTGTTGGGGGTCCCCCACTGCATGCACTCAGCTCCTCTCCCCCACTTCTCGGGAGCAGCCCTGGCTCTGACAGTCCCTTGTTGGGGGGTCCCCCACTGCATGCACTCAGCTCCTCTCCCCCACTTCTCAGGAGCAGCCCTGGCTCTGACAGTCCCTCATTGGGGGTCCCCCACTGCATGCACTCAGCTCCTCTCTCCCACCTCTGGGAAGCAGCCCTGGCTCTGACAGTCCCTCGTTGGGGGTCCCCCACTGCACTCAGCTCCTCTCCCCCACTTCTCCGGAGCAGCCCTGGCTCTGACAGTCCCGTCCCCTTCTGCTGCCACTGTTTTGCATTTTTCCTCTCAATTAAGGAAGGGTGGCCAAAAACAAAGCTTGCAACCACCTAGAGACCACTGCACACCCAGCTGCCAGACTGCCCTCCCTCTGCCGTGGGGGGAGAGGGGGAGGTGGATGGCAGGTCACAGGGTCACTGTGCCCTGGAGCTGCTCTGCGGCAGCTTCCCTGCCCACGTGCAGTCCCCCTACCGGAGCCTCTGCTGGTCACATGTTCCCAGCAACAGCTTCTGACTGGCCCACAATGACATCACCTTATTTCAAACCTCATCTTCAAGTAGGAGACTGGGGGGTGGGGAGGTGAGGGTGGGGGTCAGGGATATGGGTCATGCATCCCAAGGCAGAGGTAGAAGAGGGAAGACCAAAATGGAATCCAAACACTTGCTTCTGCACACCCATTCTGAAACTGCTCATCTGTTACACCGTAACATCTATTTCACTCCATCTATCCCGAACCTACACAGCTTCTAGAAGACAGTTGCCAAGTTCAGGTCCCAGAACAAGGTGGGTGGGGGGAGGGGAGAATCTCCTATGAAGGGCTCCCCAAACATCTGGGGGGGGGTTACCTCTAGCTCTAGGGGCAAGCAATTTTAAACCTATCCCAGAGCCCAGGGCAGCATTCCAATGTCCTTCAGGTACACAGACACCCCAACCCCAGACCCCTGCAGCGCACACTGCAGTAACCCGACCCCAGGCCACCGGGCATGCCTGCCACTTAAGCTGCAGTATTCCCACAAACTTCACCAGAGGGCTCCCCGCCCCCCACTTCCTGCAGGCTGAGCCCCTGCGCAATCACCAAGCATCATCAAAGGAAGAAGGCAGGGAAAGACTGCACCTTTCAGAGCCAGGCTCTCTGGGTCTGCAAAGAGGCTAGGGAAAGGTTAGGGGAACTGGAGGGGAGAGCTGCTCGGCACAGCCTCCGGTTACCTGTCCCCCAGGCGGGCTTCTTTCGGCTCCAAGAGGGAGGCGCCCCCGCCCGGGCCCACTTCTCGGGAATCTCCTTGGGGACCGTCATGATCTCAGCTCGAATGGGGGAGGGCAGCCTGTCTGCCTGCCCTTTGCCTCAGCGGTGCCGACGGGGCGGGCCCCCGGGGAGCTGCAGGAGCCGTGGCCGCTCAGAGGGAAGCCCCGGCCAGCGGGCACGCGCGCCCCACGCAGCCCGGGCCATGCTCACAGGCGCCCGCGCCGGGGACTCCTCGAGCTGAGCGGCGCAGCTGCCGCCGCGGTGCCTGCCGCCCCCACGCCCCCCGTGGAGGTGCGCGCTGAGTGGCCGTGCGATCCGGAGGGGAGGCGGTGCTCACGCCCCACGCTCCGCCCCAGCCCGCTCCAGGGCTGCGGGGCAGCCACGCGCCAGCGCGCCGCGTAGGCGAGAGGCAGTGCGTGAGCCCCGCCTTCCCTCCTGAGCCCCCGCCAGCAGGGCTACTGCGGGCCAGGACTGCTGGCGGCATTGGAGACAACCGCTCTCATCCCTTCAACCCCACCTGCAGGAAAACCAGCAGGACCAGGGGGAACCAGGATATAGGCAGAGGCAGCGAAGGGACCGAGAAAGCAAGCTGACAAACAGAACTTCCCAGCGCAGAGAATGGGAGCTGCAGATGCCCCAAGATAGTGGAGATACTTCTGAGGAGGCGACTGGGGTGAGAACCCAGTTTAGCGATCAAGTGGGAGGTTCCCCTGGGATGGGTAGGGGTTTCAGCGTCTCTCCGACCCTTCCACTTGTCCAGTTTCCCTTTGCCGCAGCCATAGCGACACCCACTCCCTGTGGTCTCAGTAATCCCCCTCCTTGCCTGCCTTACCTGGGGGGCGCTTTTTTGCACACAGTGCCATCTCACCCAGCAAGATCCCAGCAATCCCATGGGAGACCCTGCAGGAAGGAGACACACCACGAGGTCAGGAAGCTAAGGGGACTCTCCATTCTCACAGCAGACCCCTTCTCAAGGCCCCCTTCAGCTCTGCCCCATGCCCCACTAGCACCTGTTCTCTTAAGGGCCCTGATGGGTCCCAGGGAGAGAAGGGAGTCTTCGGCACCACCTCCCCTCATGCCTCTGCCTTGGATAATGGTAAGGACCATGAGAATTTCCAGAAGCCAAGGCTGGGGGAGGACGGCAGACACAAGAGGCCACCTATGGTCAGCAGTAGCAGGTGCTCAAGGCATCCCTCCCAGGGACAGTGACTGCTCGCTGATGCCCTCCTGGTGGAAAGGATATGTAGCTGTGCTCATTAGAAAACACCATTTTCCCCCCAAAGGATGGGGTGGAGGGAACATGAGCCAGGATTTCCTCTACCCTGCAGTACATCAGGAAACAGGGTGGGAAGACTCCACCCTTCTCAAAATGCTTACAACCCCCCACCCCACCCATCCCCTACCTGGGGCTTCTATTCTCGCCTCCTGCACGGGAACTCACACTGCAAGCATGGCCTTCACTTCCTGCCAGACTGTCCCCAGATGGCTTCCTCTCATTCTGGGCCAGGGAATCCCCCTCCTGTATCCTCTCTGACAGTCCGAATGGGCTGGATGCAGCCTCTGGGAACAGCACCCAAGCAGGCCTCTGCTTCCTGCCACCTTCCCTCTGCAAAGGTGTTAAGGCCTGGCCCTCCAGACATGCTCACAGCCTCAACCCTGGTCCGACAGCTCGCCCAGAGGAAACTGCGGCCAGTCACCTCCTCTTTCTTTGTCTCAGTGGAAGGCCGCCCCCCCTCTCCCAAGCCCGTCAGCCAGCCCCAAGAGGTACTAATTGCCTGTCTGCCCAACCTCTATAATTACAGACTCTGGCCACAGCCCCATCACCCACACCAGCTCTCGGCTTCCCAGTTTGACAGCACCGAAAGTTCCAAGTCCTCAGAGGTGCTGACCTTCCTCCAGTCATGGCAGGCAAGGGTGGCGGGCTCTGGGAGAAAAATCCTTCACCCACGTTTTTAAGGGATGCCAAGCTCTCTTCTAGGGCCCCTGGCCAGGGTCTCCACCCAGTCTGGAGTGTGAGTCATGGGAGGGTGGGGTGCAGAGGGAGAGATTCAAGGAAACCATTCAGGCAATGGTGGGCATCATTAAGTTCCAATCAGCACTGCCCTTGAAGAGGCAGGCAATCAAGTCACACTCAGAGCTGGGGTTCGAGTCCCAGGTGTTAATCCCAGAAGCCTGGAGTCTGCATCCAGACCAGGAAAGTTGCTTCACCTCTAAGACTCTGGGGAGCAAGACAGCAGGCTTGGCCTGCAGACCTCCATCCTGCGGGAGAGGCAGCAGTCATAGGAAGGGAAGGGGGTGGAGAGGAAGGGATCTGGCAACAGGGACCCCCTCTGTCTCCTTGCCAGCCTGGGTTTTCCGAGCCAGTTAGGCCCAGTAGCCACGTCGTCGTGCCTCGCCATCCTGCCCGGCCCCAGCCCCCTCTAGGATAAAAATAGCCAGTCCCGGGAAGGAAGGAGGACAACAGCTCCTCCTCCAGGTCTGGCCCCCCACTCCTTTCCCACCAAGACCTCTTTCCTCAGAGGAGGTTGATCAAGTCGGAGAGACAGGAGCAAATAGAACCCAAGGCGTCAGCCACCAGCTCCTTCCCGGCACCCCCACACCCGCCACAGCCGGGTGCAACCCAGGACTCCACAGCCAGCTCTCAGCTGCCCCAGCTACCACCCTGCGGCCCCTGCTGCCTCGCGCCTGGCACTCAGCCCGCCGGGCACACACTCCCTCCTGCGGGGTCCCGACCCCTGGGGGACCCGGGCTCCCCCGCCCCACATCCACACACACAGGCGCGCGCGGCTGCCCTCGTCCCTGCTGCTGCCCTCGCCCCGCTCTCTCCCCACGCGCCCCTCGGTACCTCTGCGCCCACCCTGCGCCCCTCCACCCGGGTACCCCCCTGCGCCCACTGCCCGCCCCAACTCCCCGCGGCAGCTCGCGAGGCCGGCTCCCTCCGGTCCGCGGCCGCATCTCCCGCCTCGCCTCACCTCAGCGCTCGGCGCTCGGCGCCCGGCCCGGCGGCCCCGTCCTGCCCATGCCGGGGGCTGGGACGGGGGGCGCTCGGCTCGGCTCCCCGCGGGCTCCCGCCCCCCCGAGCTGCGGCCCCGCTCCCCCCGGGGCCTCGGCCCGCTACTTTGTGTCAGTTTCGGCCACGGCGGGGCGGAAGTGACGGAGATGGCGGCAGAGGGCGGGGGGCGGGAGGGGGTTTCGGGGAGGGATGAGGGGAGCGCCGCCATGTTTGTGCGGGGCATGGGGAGGGTCCCCGCCGGCCCACGGCGAGCGCCCGGGCCCCGGCAGGCTGCCCTCGCAGCCGGCCCGCCGCTGAAAGGAACCATTCACGAGGCCAGGTAGCGCCGAGATGTTCTTTTTAATTTGGAGGAAAGGGTGTGGAAGGACTAGCGCGTTCCGCGGGGAGGGCGTGAGGGCTGGGGAGGCGGTGAACGACGCGAATTTTCCTCGGAAGCGGTTTCCCTCTCAGTCCCATGCTCACGCCTCTCGGGGCCTCCGCCGCCCAGTTTCCTTCGCCTTCTCTCCCTTGGGCATCTCGGTGGCTTGCTCCCGGAACGACACAGCCCCGAAACGTCTAGGTAGTGAGTTGTGCCTCAGTTTCTCTGACCCAGCCGGCTCTGCGCCCCTGGAGTGGAGGCAGGCGCCTCACGGCCTTTGGGGGCGGTGGAGTGTAGGGAAGGACCCCGCCGGGAGGGTGGGTGGCGGCCGGGGTTTGGAGAGCCGGGGGTGCAGTTGGCCCCAGGCTGCTGAGGGAAGCGCCCCCACGGCTCTCATGGCCGGCACCCCCACCCCGGGGCTGCTGGCACCTGCCTTGCCGGGGCACCACCTGGGGCGAGGAGTAAAGAGTCCCCCGACCTAGTTAGCCCAAGTCCGAGCATCCTTCCGGGTTGAGAGGCAAGGGCTCCCTAGATGGATGCGGCAGAGAAGCCGGTGTACTGCCACACACAGAGGAGATATCCGTCTGGCTGGCGGGCCTGCCCAGTGTCTGTCGCCACAGAGGCCGCTGGGGATGTGAGGGCTGCCACGATCACAGCTTACACTCCAGCGTCTGGGCTGGGACTTTGTGTGGAGCAGGCTTGGCATCCTTAGCCGGCTCCGAGTCCTCAGGATGGTGCAAAGATACCAGCAGATAGTACACAGCCGTGCCAAGGATGGCACCCACCATAGGGGCCACCACGGGCACCCACCACCAGCCGTTGCCAGCACTGCCATGGAAGGACAAGGGGGAGATATAAGGGGTGGCTCCCTTCACCCGCCTCTCCCCCGGGGAAGCAGTAAGCAGTTGGAGCTCCTGAGGAAGAGAAGATGTTGACACTGAAGTATAGCATTGAAGGAGCGACTCTGAGGAGGGCTAGGGCAGGCTGCCAGCCTTCTCTGACTTGACCTGTTCTGCTGATGAGGTCACTACAAGTCAAAGAGAGACTGTGACAGACCCAAGAACACAAACTCTGTGCCTTAGTATTTTGCTGAAAAGGGCAGGCAAGGCAAGGGGGAAGGGGAGTGTGGTGTGTACAGAAGGGCCTATGCTAAGAGACCAGGAGAGGTAGGAGAAGAGAGCTAGGGACTCGGACACAGAGCCACTAGCAGAGGGAGGTCAGTGGAACACAGCTGCGGCAGAAGAGGCCTTGTCTCACCTGAAAACTTCAGGGCCCCAGCCAGCCACGTAGGTGAAGAGCCTTGGGCCCAGGTCCCGGGCGGGGTTGAGTGGGTAGCCGCAATTGGCACCCAAGGATAATCCAATGCCCAAGACCAGCATCCCCACCACCACGGGTTCCAGACCGGCAGGCACTGGCTTGTTTCGTTTGTCCAAGATGGCCAAGAGCCCCACAATCAGGACGCTGGTACCCAGAACCTTGTGTTGGCAGAAGCAGGGGGAATCCACGTCATCTGGCTTTGTCCCACGGACTTGGGGGATGGGGGCACGTGCCAAGACATATCCCACCTCATGTCCCACACACAGCTAAAACAGTAGGCTGAGGTTTCAGGGGACAGGACAAAGGTCTCCTCGCTCACACCCACCTGGTCCAGGAAGCCGTTGTTCAGGGACAGATAGGAGGCAGGATAAGTCGCAAAGATGGAGGCTGTCTCCCTAAGGCCAGTCACCGTCAAGTTCCCACCTGTATAGTTCTGTAGGGCATCTTCAGGGGAGAGGGACACCCAGGCTGCCATCTTTGCTCATGCAGAGCTACTCCAAAGCACCCCAACCCACACACAGGTGCCCCCAGCCACATCCCCTCTGTTACCATAGTAAACCCAATAGGTGACTCCTGAGGCACAGAAAGCAGACAGCAGCTGCACAAAGATATAAATGGGCAGCTTGGCCCAGGGGAAGCGTCCCAGGAGGCACATGGACAAGGAGAAGGCTGGATTCAGGTGGGCCCCTGCAAGGGACAAGAAAGCATATCAGCATCCATTAAGTGGCGTTGCCAGGAGCAGTCACCAGGCAACGCCGCTGCTCCTTCCCAGGACGCTGAAGGAGGCAGTAGTACTCCCCTTCATACGCCCTCAGAAATGGGTGGCACAGGGGGTCTGCACCTGGGTCTGTCTGCCCTCCCCACTGCAGCACATTGTGGTCTGAGGCTGTAGCCAGAGATGCTGACACCCCGATTAGAGAACAGAGGGACCCGAAAGGGTTCCAGGTGTCTCACACAAAATGAGAGCTCTTACCTTCAATGTCCTGCAGTAGATTTCTGCCGAAGCGAACCAACGATTAGTGTGAGGAAGGGGAATGGAGAAAGATAGAAAGGGGAGGGGCTGGGTGAGGCCAAGAGCATATCTCAGTCCAGGGCACTGGTCAAGCTTGGGGAGATAATGTCCATGAGTCACCAGAGGATCTGCCTTTTGACCACCCTCACCAGACACCCACACTCACATAGCCTTTCTCCGCAGACCCTCCTCACCTGAGACGTTGCCACCCACATAGATGGCTATGATAACGGCCAGAGCGCCCCCCAGGAACATGGTGAAGAAGTTGCCTACTCTTTCTTCACTGGTCACAGCCTGGGCCACACTCCCCTGGGTGATGAGCTGTGGGGAAAGAAGTGAAGACCAAGGGAACCCAGGAGACCAACAGGAGAGCGGGCCAGAGCAGAGACAAAAGGCCGGCAGAGGAAGAAGAGAGGCAGAAAGATGAAAGGGTAAAGAAGTGGAAGAGGAAGGTGAAAGGAGGGAAGCAAGGGAAGAGATTAGTGTAGGGAGAGGGAAAAAAAAAGAGGAAAGGGGAGAGATTAGGAGGAAGGGGAAGGAGAAGTGATTGAAAATGGAAAAGAAAGGAGAAGCTGAGAGGAGACCGGGAGGAAGCAGAAACCTCTGCCCACCTCCCTTCTCCCACCCTTCCCCCATGACCCTGCATACCAGCAGCACAAATACACCCAGGAACTCTGCCAGACACTGGCGGGCCAGGAGGTTGTGGATCCGCAGGTAGCCCTTGACCTCCCCGAGGAGCCTAGAGAGGGCCATGGTGGGGACAGACACCCTGTTGCTGGAACTGCCACCTCTGTCTGCAGAGGTACACTACTACTGCACAGCTACTGCCTGCCCAGGAAAGATAAGAAAGAGACTTTAAAACCAATTAGCTCAGCTCCTAAACAGCAGCTAATAATGTTGGTTGGTACACGTGTGTGGGCTGTAGAGAATGGCCTTTTGGGCACGTGCAAGGACTAGAATGTCTGTGGGCATGCTGTGTGCAGAATCGGAGCCTGGAGTTTGCTCTGTGTCGTCTGTCCTTCATCCCCTTGCCTCACAGAGCTGGCCTCTGCCCATGGGACATGTTGAGGGAAGTACATGCTTCAGATAACAGTAGTTCTCTTGGTCCTGAAAAGCAGAACGGATCAATCCCACTCTGCTGATAAGAACACTGAGCCCCAGACTTCCCCCCCCACCCACCCCGACAACACACAAGATCACACAGTTGGATAAAAGCCAAGTGAGTGCAAATGCTGACCTTCGGAAAGTTCATTTGCCTCTCGCCTGCATCGTGAAGCCTTCTTCCAAACCTTGCGGAGGCTTGGAGAACTCAATAAACATCCGGAGGGACTGGCCTGAGGACCAGAGACTGGGAATGAAATTACTCAGCTCAGTGATGGTACTTCTTCATGCAGAGCCTCCCCATGCTTAGAGATTTCTGCATGTTACACAGCATGGGTGGAGCGGAGGACTTCCCACTTGTACTTAGCCTCATACAACCTCCTCTGGACAGGTACTGCCTCTACTCGGGAACATACAACCACAGCCTTCTTGTTCTAAGCTTCCGTCCAGTTAGAGTCCTTCAGCAAGGAAAGGAGAGCCCAAGAAAAACAGTGATGTGCAAAATGCAGCCCCTGCCATCCTACAGCTTGTGTTCTTGTGCTACTACGTAGAAACCAGCTGGAAGCTTGTTTTTCAAGCAGTCCACTCACAGGTAAGTGTTTTTGGACCGTGTTCAGGATGCTCCTTGGGGTGCTGACCTGTAACAGAGGGCCTGGCTTGGCTTCCGATGTCAGCTTCCTGCTCATGTGCACTCTGGGAGGCACCGGGTGGCGGATCAGGGACTGTGCCTGCTGTGTGAGTACCCATATTGATTTCCAGGCTTCTGGCTGGCCCAGTCCCAGCTATGACAGGCATTTGTGAGGTGAATCAGCAGATAGAAGACTCCATGTGTATGTGTTGTTCTGCATTGTATTTCTACACTTGATCTTAGCCAAAAGGCTGAGAAGCAAAGCATTGTATTTCAAATAAGAACAATTTGTTTAAATAACATATCTGATAGAGTTTACAAGGTTCTTGAGGACCAGGGCCGTGATATATCCTGCTCAGTGGGCTGCAACATAGTGTGGGCATATTTGTGGGCAATAGAAGTTGTTCACTGGGATCAGTGGCTCCCAGCTTCCCTCTTTAGACCCAGTCTTCTAGCTCTTGGGGGTTCACTGCTGATCTGACAGACAGTTGCCTCCTGTGGCCAGAAACTGCCTGACTCAAGTTCACATGACCAATGGAATTCATACCCAGGGACTGGCTGATACTCGGACGTGAGGGCCTGGCCACTCTGTCTTGTTTTGGGACAACCCGAAAGGGCCAGCCTAGTTCCAGATTTGTCAGTAGGGTGAGCTACAGCCTCTATTACATCTGTGTGTAAGATTTTCTCTTATGCCTGGTATTGATTTCCTCATTTCCTTGCTTGTGTGTCTGTTGATAAAGGTTGTGTTGTGGTAGGTGGAGTCTGGAGTGTTGGCTGCTGTGGTGCAGTTATCAAAGCTGTCAGGCAGGTGCAGGCCCTGTGGCTGAGTGGGTAAAGTCCCCATCAGACCTTCCAATCTAGTTCTCTGCTAATGGCCTGGGAAAATGGCAGAAGGTGGCCCAAGTCCTTGGGTTCCTGCACAGCCTAGAAGCTCCTGCTCTGGGTTTTGAACTAGCCCAACAAGGCCTGTGGGGCCATTTGGAGAGTGAACCAGTAGATGCAAGTTCTGTCTTCTCCTTCCTAATTCTGTCTTTCAAATATTTCTTTTTGAAGTTCTCAATAATTGGGATCAGCACAATGACTCACCTGGCTAATTGTCCACCTCCAAGTTCCAGCATCCCATACGGACACTGGTTCTTGTCCTAGCTGTTCCACTTCTAATCCAGTTCCTTGCTGATGGCCTGGGAAGCAGTGAAAAATGGTTCAAGTACTTGGGCACCTGCACCCACATGGGAGACCCAGAAGAAGTTCATGGTTCCTGGCTTTGGATTAGCTCAACTTCTGCTGTTGTGGCCTTTGAGAAGTGAATCAGCAGATTGAAGATCTTTCTCTCTTTCTCTCTTTAAAATCTGACTTTCAAATAAAAATAAATAACTCTTGAAAAAATGAAGTTCTCAGTAGTTTGGTAAAGGTCTTCAGGGTCTAATTCAGCTTTAGTAGTGCATGGAACTGGATACTGAATGCTGAATTCAGGAAGGTGGAACACAGGGTAGACAGGGAAGAATTTACTGATGTGGGAGCACTCTACTGTGACATGGATTTATTTATTTATTTTTACTTCTTTTTATTATCATTTTATGATACAGTTCCATAGGCCCTGGGATTTCCCCTATCTCCTCCCCAACTCCCTCCCGCCTCACTGAGTTTCCCTATATCATTACTGTAGTATACTTCTTCATACACAGTCAGATGTCCATAATTGTGGGCATGGACAATGGGAGAGAGTCCAGTATCCTATTGTCAAGATACAGTGAACAGTTTCATTGGGAGTCCATCTTTGGAAGTAGAGATGCATACTACATTATATCCTCACATCTGGATGTGTGTGAGTCTCCAATTCACAGTTACTGTATATCCCCTTAAATGAAAAGCCACAAAACAAAATCAACAACAGGAAGAAAAATAGAAATTTACAATGCCATATTTTAAATCACATGCTACTGGATATGTTAGTCCCCATTACACAGTTACTGTGCATCCTTTTAAATGAGAAGCCACAAAACAAAATCAACAACAGGAAGAAAAGAAGAAATTAACAACACAGTAAAGTTCAATAAGATGCTACTGAATGACTGAAGAAATGAAAAAGAAAAGAAAAAACTGATGCTTCTGTATGATCTGAGACATTGAATTTAATCAGAAGAAAGTGTTTTGAAGAGATGAAACTAACCAAAAAAAAAAAATCCATGAGATACAGTTTCCACTGATCTTTCTTTGTGAAATGTGTCTCCTGTAGGCAACAATTAGATGGGTTTTATTTTTTAATCCAGTATACTAATCTATGACGTTTGATTGATCAGTTTAAGCCATTTGCATTCAGGGTTAATACAAATAGGTGGTAATGTGGTTGTGTCATTTTAGCAATGAGTTGTTTATTGATTTAGTCTTCTGTTGTTATTTTACTGGGATGTTCTTCACATTTGCCTTTGGTTTTGGTGGGTGCTATTCCTTTTCTCTGTCAAGAGAACATCTTTAAGTATCATTTGTAGGGCAGGTTTGGAAGAGGCATATTCTTTTAACTTTTCTTTATTGTGGAAGAATTTTATTTCATTTTCAAAGACAAAGGAAAGTTTTGCTGGGTACGTTATCATGGGCTGACAATTTTTTGTTTTTAGAATCTGGAATATGTCACTTCATTCTCTTCTGGCCTAAGGAATTTCCTGTGAGAGGTCTCTGGTGAGTTTAATTGGCATTCCTTTGTATGTCAGTTGATTTTTTTCACGTGCACATTTAAGAATCTTTTCCTTACATTTGATTGAAGAGAGCTTGATTTATTTTTGTGTCTTGGTAAAGATCACTTTTCGTCAAGCCTGTTGGGAGTTCTGTGCCCTCCTGGATGTTGTTTCCCAATTCTGTCTCTAGATTAGGGAAATTTTCCCTTATTATTTCATTAAATACATTTGTAAACATAGCTTCTCTTTCTGCACCTTCTACGACTCCTGTAACTTTTTTTTAAAGATTTATTTATTTTTATTGTAAAGTCAGATATATACAGAGAGGAGGAGAGACAGAGAGGAAGATCTTCTGTCCGATGATTCACTCCCCAAGTGACCACAATGGTGGGGAGCTGACCTGATCTGAAGCCAGGAGCCAGGAACCTCTTCTGAATCTCCCATGCTGGTGCAGGGTCCCAAAGCTTTGGGCCAGCCTTGACTGCTTTCCCAGGCCACAAGCAGGGAGCTGGATGGGAAGTGGAGCTGCTGGGATTAGAACCTGTGCCCATATGGGATCCCAGTGCGTTCAAGGTGAGGACTTGAGCAGCTAGGCCACCACACTGGGCCCAAATCCCATAACTCTTATATTTGGGCTTTTAATAGTGTCTTTCAATTCTTGAATACTTTTTTTTGGAATGATCCAGCTCTGCTTCCAGCTTTTTGTTTGTTTCCCCCTGGTAACAGGAAATATCTTCTAATTTTTAGATTCTTCCTTCTGCCTCCTTCATTCTATTTTCTAGACTCTCCACTGTACTTTTAATTTGGTCCCTGTATTCTTCATTTCTGATATGTGAGCTTTCATTTGATTCATTTTCAGTGTAGCATATTCCTTAAATTCCTTGAACTCCTGCATTATGTGCTTCTCGTTGTTGACAAGAAGCTTTATAACCAGTGTTTTGAATTCTGTATCCCTCATTTTCTTGAGGTCTTCCTCAGTGAACTCTCATGTTGGCAAAGGGTTTTGCATCTTTGCAGGGGAGTCTTCAGTAATATTCATTGTGCCTCTGTCTCTTCTTTTGCTCTTGGTAATTGTACTTCTGGTTATCAGATTCTTCTCCTTGGGGCAGGTTTCTAAGCTGTGTCACCCACATGTATACAGTTCAGTTTTATTTATTGCAGTTGGTACATCCTCTTTGTTTGCAGTCACTTGAGCCACTCACTGCAGTGAATTTCAGATCTGGTTTCTTATGTTAGATTTCTGCCATTCTCCATAGCCCCAGCTCCTGGCTAACCAGTCTCTGCCTCATGTGATACCATGCTGAGGCTGTACCATTGTCTGTACAACATTTCTCCCACTTAGAGTTGGAACAGATCCCAGGATTAGGGAGACACCAGGTGTCCTATAGTTAGGTTGTTGGTGGTGCTGATCTTGCAGGGACCTGTT